CGAATATATCAAACTTGTCAAAAATGATAAAAGTGACATAATAATTTTAAGTTTAAAATGGACTTTAGGGACGCCTGGGTGGCTCAGTCGGCTTTGGTCATGATCTCACCGTTCATGAGTTTGAGCCCTGCATTAGGCTCTGTGCTGACAGCTCAGAGCCTGGAGCCTGCTTCAGGTTGTGTCTCCCTCTCTCTCTGCCCCCCACTTGCACTCTGTCTCTCTTTCTTTCAAAAATAAACAAACATTAAAGGCACCTGGGTGGCTCAGTCGGGTTAACATCCGACTTCAGCTCAGGTCATGGTCTCACAGTTTGTGAGTTCAAGCCCTGCATCAGGCTCTGTGCTGACAGCTCAGAGCCTGGAGCCTGCTTCAGAGTCTGTGTCTCCTTTTCTCTCTGCCCCTCCCCTGCTCATGCTCTGTCTCTCTCTCTTTCTCAAAAATAAATAAACATTAAAAAAAATTTATTTTTATTTTTATTTATTTCTAGGAGAGAGAGAGAGACAGTGTGAGCAGGGGACCGTCAGAGAGAGAGGGAGTCACAGACTGAAACAGGCTCCAGGCTCCGAGCTGGCAGTCAGCACAGAGCCCGACATGGGGCTCGAACCCACAAACCGTGAGATCATGACCTAAGCAAAAGTCGGACGCCTAACCGATTAAGCCACCCAGGTGCCCCTAAAAATTCTTTTTAAATGAACTTTAAATTTGGGGGATTTTTTAAACCTTTCCCTTAGTAAACTCACCATTTGAAATATAATTATCAAATCCTACAACATGGTAAGATTCATGTGCAATCTATCTGAATTTATAGTGTTATCCCACAGTACAGAGCCCCACTAAGCCTTTAGGATCATGGGGCCAGGGCCACCTGGGTGGCTCAGTCAGTTAAGCATCTGACTTTTGATTTCAGCTCAAGTCATGATCTCACAATTCATGAGTTCGGACCCAAAGAGTTCTGTGCTGACAGCGTGGAGCCTGCTTGAGATTCTAGCTCTTTCCCTCTCTGCCCCTCCCCCATGCTCGCTCCCTCCCTCTCTCTCTCAAAATAAGTTAATTAACTTAAAAAAAAAAAAGGATCATGGAGCTGAATTTCCCTAGTGCTTTGGAGACACATAAGTGAAAATGCTGCATCTGGGCTGAGGCAGACCCAGTGCTCCATTGCTGCTCCAGCCTTTCTGGTTCAGACCTAAAGTAGGCTCTGCAAGACTTCCCGAGGCCATTCTAAAACAGATGGGACTCCGCATACCCAGCTCCATCTACACACACATACCTACCTCACACTCATACCAGAGGTCCCAAAATGCAAGTTTCTCAAAACTGCACTAAACTGCATACTTCCTAATGTCCATGATCATTATTGTATATAGCCTTAAGATATGAGCTATTCTAATCTAAAGACAGCCTCCCTCAGGAAGATAAAGTTTGTATAGAACAGGTTTATAATAATGACACCCATGTACTAAAAACCAGTCCCATTATATATGTTAATTCAATATATACAATCAATCACTCATTCAACCAGCATCTATTGAATGCCCAGGTTCTCATACTGCATCAAGAAGTAAGTTAAGAAATGGGATAAAGTGTTGGCTGAGCCATAACCCCTACATTTAATTTAAACTAGGGGTGCCTGGTGCCTCAGTCAGTTAAGTGTCCCACTTCAGCTCAGGTCATGATCTCATAGCCTGTGGGTTCAAGCCCCACATGGGGCTCTGTACTATCAGCTCAGAGCCTGGAGCTTGCTTCAGATTCTGTGTCTCCCTCTCTGTCTCTGCCCCTCCCCCACTTGTCCTCTGTGTTTCTCTCCCTCAAAAATAAACATTAAAAAAATTAAAAACAAATAAACTAATTCAACTATACCTACTCAGCCTGAAAATAAAAGAGAACAAGAAAACAGACAATGGAAGGAAGAGAGACAACTGATTCCACTTGCCTCCATTCAGTTAGTATAGTACTCCTCTGGGTGAGGTCCCCACATGTCAGCAGCAGCAACACCTGGGAATCTGTTAAAAATGCAAATCTGGCTAAATCCCAGAACTACTGAATCAGAAACTGGATGGTAGAACCCAGTAGTCTGTGTTTTAATAAGCCCTCCAAGTGATTCTGATGTACAGCTGAAGTTTTTAACAACGACTAAGTTAGCCTTAGTCCCAAAATAAAACATGAATCTGCTATTACTTCTCTTGATCTAGGTTTCAGAACACCTCTAATACTACAAACATCTCACCATTCTGAAGGAGATTCTGCTGTTTAAAGATGTGCATTACCACCCAACATGGCCCCCAAATATAAACCACCCTCATCATTTGATGCTCAACAGGAAAAACCATGCTTTGTTTCACCAAAGAAGAAAGGACTGGCTGTGCTAGACTTAAAGAAAGGAGGTACATGTCTCTCTAACAAGGCATCTTACCATGGGATTCTCAAAAAGTATTCTGCCCTTGTAAAATCAAATACTGCTGTACCCTTAAAAAGCAGCCCACAAAAAAAATATTTCAGTAATCCATTCTAAAGTCTTCAAATTTGAAACCATGTTGAATTACAAGGGCCAGAAAAACTTTAGAACCAGAGAAAGCCAAACTTCCACATGTGACCACTGTCTGACCACTTCTGCTCTGAGCTATTCATCCCTGACTGTTTAGATTGGGAGGAAAAGAGAAGAACTCTGGTATGGCAGAAAGAAAGCAGAAGTGAATTAATGGACCTAAACATGAATCTCTACTGTGAGGCTTCAGGCAAGTCACTTAACCTTTCTGAGTCCAGTATCTTCCTATATAAAATAAGGATAACACAATTTAAAGGATTGCTGGGACACCTGGGTAGCTCAGTCAGTCAAGTGTCCAACTTCCGCTTAGGTCATGATCTCACGGTTCATGTTTTCGAGCCCCATGTTGGGCTCTGTGTTGACAGCTCAGAGCCTGGAGCCTGCTTCAGGTTCTGTGTCTCCCTCTCTCTCTGTTCCTCCCCTGCTCACGCTCTGTCTTTCTCTCTCTCTCTCTTCAAAATAAAGATTTAAAAATTTTTAATGAAAAAAATAAGTACAATAAAATAAAATAATAAAATAAAATAAATAAAGGATTGCTGTGATGATTAGAGAAAGTTTACCTAAAGTACCAGGTATAGTTTCTAATATATATTAAGTACTCAGTAACTGTTAGTTCCCCTCTCCACCCCATTTGCAAACCAATCCTAAGCATGGGGTAGTTAGATGGGGTAAATAAGGGGGAGGGAAAGAATAAAGCTCTTCACAAAACAAAACTCTAATGCTCTTCACTTAGTTATAGGAAGTACCTTGGATTGTTGAAATCTTTTTTTTTTTTTTTTAGTGTTTCACCTATATATTAAATAGCTAGAAACAGGCTATGAAATCCTTTTTGCAAAACATTAGTTTACAGACTTTTCCTGGCTCTTCCTGTCTTCAAGGATATCAAACTTTCGGCTTGGAAGTTTCCAAACTGTAGTTTCCAATACCTAATGGCCCAGCACACTAGGGGCCGTGTGCCCTCTGCCGTTGAGAATTAGGATTTACATGCCACTTTCAGCTCTGTGCTCCTGAATAGAGATTTTATAAATCACAACATGAAAGGGAACAAGGGCTTTAGAAATCATTTGATCTGTGTTGTTCAACTAAAGAAACTGGACTCAAAGAGGTCAAGTGATTTGACCAAGGTCACAAGTTAGAGGCAGAACTAGAGGTTTTAAATATTTTTGCAATTTGGTTTACTGAAATAACTAAAATAAATAATAGTGCTGTTAAATAAATAAAATAAAATAAATAAAAGCAACAAAGCATGAGCTCAGAAAGGAAACACACCTCTAGTCACACACAGCAGTCCTTTCTAAAATGTAGTCCAATAGACTTCAAGAGATACTTCCCTCCACCTTGTAGATAAGAAAGAGAGCCATAAAATGTGTAGTCAAGAAGGAACAAAGAGGATATCCTTTAAATAAAATTTATTGCAGCAAAAATAACTATTGGACTTTAAAACTGTTCAAGAATAAAGTTCACATCTAGAAAAGCCTATGAGAACATTATACCTGTTATAAACAAGTTGGGTGGCAATTTGGGGATGCAGGGGAGAAAGGAGGGCAAATCACACAGGGCACCAACCACACACGCTGAGTCAGGGAAGGGCAGAGAGAGAGGGAGACACAGAATCCGAAACAGGCTTCAGGCTCTGAGCTGTCAGCACAGGGCCCAATACGGGGCTCGAACTTACAGACTGTGAGATCATGACCTGAGCCGAAGTTGGACACTCACCGACTAAGCCACCCAGGTACTGACCCCCCCACCAATGTCAACCTTAAGCAGGAGACACTAGAGTAGCCTTCTCCAAATTTATAAAATGAAAGACATATCCTCCAGCCATTTACTAATGGTTAAACTGAAGTACATATGGAATATTGGTCTTTTCACTGGCCTGACTCAATAATTGAAATTACTACTTTTAACCCATTTAATTAAGCATTAATAAAAAACAAAATCACACAGGGTGCCTGGTAGCTCAGTCAGTTATGCATCTGACTCCTGATTTCAGCTCGGGTCATGATCCCATGATCGTGAGATCGAGCATGGAGTCAGGCTCCGCGTAGAGTGTGGAGCCTGCTTGGGGTTCTCTCTCTCCCTCTCCCTCTGCATCTCTCTCTGTCTTTCAAAAATAAATAAATAAATAAAGTGTTTTTAAAAAGTACACTCTTACACAGTAGACTCTCATTTTAGTAAACTTAGTACACAGTTTTATTTATGCACCCAGATATATGATCATAGCTAATTGAAATTTTACTAAAGATATGAAAAGTACACTCAGAGATATACAGGACAAAAAAAATGGACTCATACTTCCAATAAATCACAGTACCTTGAAAGAGGGCTCTCTGGTTTCCAATTCTAATCCAAAGATGCTAAAATGAAATAAGACGCCCTTTCTTCCACTTGAGTGTATACCCTGTGAATTTTGGAACTGTGGAATTACATTCTGTTAGAGTTCCTAAGTAGAGACACATTGTTTCTAGGCAAGGTTGATCTCCCCTGAAGGAAAAGACACCTTCATGTTGGAAGGACACAGGTTTTCAAAGAAGGAACCAAAACCTGAAAGGTAAGGCGTAGGCAGGCCATGGGTCTATAGTTGAAGGAGGCTGGATATCTATAAGTAGAATCCTACTAAGGTAAATTATCCCTCATACAGGAGGTAGCCCAAAGCTAAAATAAGATCAATACTTCTTGAGGATAGTATGGTGATGACAAAGGAAATGGTCCAAGTCTCCCCAAGAGGAAGGTGAGTCTAAGAGAAAGGACCATCCTTCCCTTCCCATAGGGATGTTCTCTTCATTGCCATCCTTAGCAGATCTAGTCTCCATTTTAACAAGGTAGAAGTTTCCTCAGATATACCCTTCAAATAAAATCATCATTCTGTATAACAAGACACTGTTCTGCACACACCCTTCTGTGCATATTAACCAGGAGAGAGAATTGTATTCCCCCCTTCCATACTTTTTTGGTAACCTACCCCTAATCTTAAAAAGGAAACTATTAGAAATAAATTATTTATTTAAAAAGAAAATGACATGGGGGAAGGAAGGAAAAGGGATGATATTGAAGAGTCCACTGTAGAAAAAATTTAGACCATCCAGTCTCCTATATTTATAAATGGAAAGTTAGAAAAGCAAGAACACCATAGCTACCACAGTGTACCTGTATAAGACAGATGTTTTAGGGGCACCTGGGTGGCTCAGTCAGTTAAGGATTTGACTCTTGATTTTGGCTCAGATAGTGATCTTGCAGTTCAGGAGATCAAACCCCACACTGGGCTCTTCGCTGAAAGTGCAGAGCCTGCTTGGGATTTTCTCCCCCTCCTCTCTGCCCCTCCCCAGCTCACACACCTCCTCCTCTCTCTCAAGATAAATAAATAAAGATTTAAAAACAAACAAACAAATACTTTAGGGGTGCCTGAGTGGCTCAGTTGGTTAAGTGTCTGACTTCAGCGCAGATCATAATCTCACAGTTCATGAGTCTGAGTTCTGAATTGGGCTCTGTGCTGTCATGAGGAGCCCGCTTTGGATCCTCAGTCTACCTCTCTCTCTCTGCCCCTCCCCATATGCATGCTCTCACTGGCTCTCAAAAATAAACATTAAAAAAAAGATACTTCATAAATTTTTTAATGTTTATTTTTGAGAGACAAAGAAAAAGAGAGAGACATAGTGTGAGCAGGAGGGGCATAGAAAGAATCCAAAAGCAAGCTCCAGGCTCTGAGCTGTCAGCACAGAGCCTGATGCAGGGCTTGAACTCACGAACTGTGAGATCATGACCTGAGCCGAAATCAGACACTTAACCAACTGAGCCACCTAGGTGCCCCACTTAGAAAACATTTTTTTAATAAATATTAAATGAATTCGGTTCAATTCTTCTAATAAGTGGTTCCTCACAATTTTATGTATGAAGTCTTCTTAATGTTAGAATTTTCACACATGTTCTATTTAATAATCACTGCTTGAGAAAGAATACAGGAGAAGCTAATATAAATTTAATACTGGTATAAATGAATACACAACAGCATCTAATTACATTTGAAAAAACAGTATATGCTTGTCAAGAAAATGGATTCATGCACCCTCTCCAATAACTGTACAGTGTTCAGTAATTCCCTTTTCCTCTGACCAAGAACTGTAGGCCCCATGGAGGGAAAACATTCTAAATTAACAAAATTCTACAAAAACAAAATACTCTCTGCTCTACTGCTAAAACAGAGGTGGAAATATCCTGTCCTTGAAACACCTAAAACATTACAGTAAATCAAAACATAACATGTTTTTTTTTTTAAATGTTTTATTTATTTCTAGGAGAGAGAGAGAGAGACAGCGTGAGCAAGGGAGGGTCAGAGAGAGAGGGAGTCACAGACTGAAACAGGCTCCAGGCTCTGAGCTGGCAGTCAGCACAGAGCCCGATGCGGGGCTCGAACCCACGAACCGCGAGATCATGACCTAAGCGAAAGTCGGACGCTTAACCGACTAAGCCACCCAGGCGCCCCTAAACATAACATGTTTTTGAAAAAATGCTCAAGATCATTCATCATCAGGAAAATACAAATCAAAACCACAGTGAGGTACCATCTCACACCAGTCAGGATGGCTAAAATTAACAGCTCAGTCAAACACAGATGTTGGCGAGGATCTCTTTTGCACTGCTGGTGGGAATGCAAACTGGTGCAGCCACTCTGGAAAACAGTGTGGAGGTTGCTCAAAAAATTAAAAATAGAATTACCTTATGACCCAGCAATTGCACTACTAGGTATTTATCCAAGGGATACAGGTATGCTGTTTCAAAGGGGCACATACACCCAATGTTTATAGCAGCACTATCAATAATCATCAAAGTATGGAAAGAGCCATTCTGACATCATCTGTTGGCTAACTCTGTGTAAGCATCACATAATCAGTAAGTCACATGATCAACTTGGCTTTAGCAAGCTTTGTACCACTGGAGTTACCTGGCCACAGCTTAAGCTCTGAAATTAGAAAGTACTACTGTGATGACTACATACATACATCTTAGGAAATGTTGCACCGTCAGAGGGCGCTGTTGTATAAGAAGTGGGAGAGCCTATTTAGTTTTATATATTAGATTCATAACATTTCAGATTAGATATCAAGTCCAAAGTCTTAAATGAAAAAAACTAAGACACGGTGATGCCAATCATTTTAAATCTCTCTTTAAAAAAAATTTTTTTTAATGTTTGTTTTTGAGAGACAGAGACAGAGCATAAGCGGGGGAGGGGCAGATAGAGAGGGAGACACAGAATCCAAAGCAGTCTCCAGGCCCCAAGCTGTCAGTGGAGACCCCAAAGTGAGCCTCGAACCCATGAACCATGAGATCATGATCTGAGACAAAGTCAGATGCTTAACCGACTGAGCCACCCAGGTGCCCCAAATCTCTTTTTAAAATATAGATATAGTCACATAATTTAAATATGGCATTCAACATCCTTCTTAAAGTACAGGCTCAAAAATTCATGCTTTTAAAAATCAGAATAGTGGTTATTCTTGTAGGGTGAAAGTGACTGTAGAAGAGAATAAGGGGATTCTAGAATTAGGATGGCGTGTTTTTCTACATGTGTAAGGTAATCAACAAAATAGACTTGTAAACATTTAAGATATCCTCCAAGATATATGTATTATTTTATAAAGTATATGTGTTTACATTTCTATTTCACTATAATCATATGGAAATTAGACTGCACTAAATAACATCCATATTAGATTTTATTTCATTCAAAAATATGTACTAAGGGCCACCTGGGTAGTTCAGTTGGTTGAGTGCCCAACTCTTGATTTCAGCTCAGGTCACGATACCAAGATCATGGGATCGAGCCCTGTGTCATGCTCTATGCTGAGCATGGAGCCTGCTTAAGATTCTCTCTCTCTACTTCTCCCCCTTTCCCCCATTCATGCTCTCTCTCCCTCTCTAAAAAAATATATATATTTTTTATAAATATATATATATAATATATACACAAAAAACATACAAAAAATATATATATATACACACACACACATATATATGTATTGAGTACTCATTAAATGACAGGCATTAAGAGAACTAAAATACAATTTCATCTGTCAAGTTTTGAATTTAACAAAAGTGGTGAACATGCTAATAAACAATCACAGGATGGTGTAGTTAAGTTCTACAAAGGGTTATGGGAGCTCACAAGCAATAGTTACCATCCCGCCTAAGGCAATCATGCAAGGCTTCATCAAAGAGGAAATATCCAAGCTGAACTCTGAAGAGTAACAAGATTTTTTCAGGTACAGAAGAAACAGAAGAGCATTTCAAGTAAGGGAAGCAAGATAAACTATGCATAACAAGCCTATTCAAGAACTGCTGTTGTTTTACGGCAGGAGGTATGTAATTTATGAGGGGAAGAAATGGGAGATCAGATTATATTCATCAGGCTGCCTCAGATGTAGCAATGAAAATCTTCCTATAAAGAGAAACCTACCTGAAATCTGAGCCTCTCTAAACCAACAATGAATGAAACTGGTTCACTGGAAATAGAGGAAATAGAGGCTTAATGAGGCAGAGACCTTTGTCTGGTTTGTCCACTAAATCCCCAGTGACTAGTATAATATCTGGCACATAAAAGAAGATCAATATACAGAGAATGAATGATTGCATGCCTACATCCCAGCTCTGCTATTCGTATAAAATTAGACCCAACAAGCGTTCAGAGAACAGCACGATTCAAAGCAAAGAGAATAGAAGTGCCTAAGAATAAGTTTGTGCAGGTTTATTTATTGCATGAGTCTATTACTGGCTTTGGAAGAGTTGCAGAACACTAGGTGGCTGTGCCTTTTGATCCAAACATAAAATTTAAAACCAATGCACAACAGTTTAGCCTTATCCAGGATGCTGAGGACACAGGAACTGCATGCCCTCTGCTGGGAGTAGAAACAGGAAGATAAAGAAGTATGAAATTAATATAGACAATAGACCAGCATCTGGGTGGAAGGGCAGGGGGAAAACTAATAAGCATTCTTCTGAAGTATATAACCTAAAATATACCTGACCTTGTGACAGGGTTTAGTCACAATTTTTAGGGCCAGGAAGGATTTAAAGGTATAGCTCTCAGCCAATGCACAGCTATCTAACCCGAATGACGGCTTCCTGTAAAATGTGTATCACAGTGGCTCATTCAGCAGCATACTGGTATTTGGTAAACCCAAATGTACTATAAAATGTTGATTTGATCAATATGTAAAACACATTTATTGAACAACAGAGTTTTATAAAGAAGGAAGACACACATAAGAGGTATCTTGGCCAAGAGCAAAAAGTGATTAGAGGGAGCAGTTGAAACTGTAGCTAAAGAGGCATATCATGATGCAAGGGGATTCCAAGGATGCAAGACAGAATGGGGTCAACAGCACAGATGGAGGGAGAATCTCTCCTCCACTGGGAAACACATGGGTGCAGGAGGAGTTACATTTTTAGATGGAAAGGGAAGAAACTGAAGGGGTTGTAGTAAAATGCCTCTAACACACCTTAGTTTCTTAATCAGTGAAGTAGGGGGCAGGACTATGTGTTAAAAGAGCATAGTGTTGCAATGATTTGAACATAGAGGTAAAAGTGTGACATGGAAGAAGGAAGAAACTGATGCTTCGGCCTCCAGAGGGTCTCTGAGGTGGGGGCTGAATTTGCACGCACAGAAACTGGCCTAGTTGTCGGTTTGCTTCAGCAGAGATCCACGACCCAGGAGTAGGAGTAGAGACGTTCAACAGCTGTATAAAACTAGGATGGGAATTTCATAAAGAGGCTGATAGAAGGACAGGGATAAAGAGACCTGAGATCATCCCTGATCTCCACGCAGCCATGAACATGTAGAAACACGAGGTTCTCTATACCATAGACAAATGCTATCGAAATCCACTTGCTGAGTTACAACGGAATCTAAACTCTGTTAGATTTATTCCATTTCATGGAGTAAAAAATCTTGACAGAACTCACATATACAATATGTAAGTATTTCAATGATAATCTTATATAAGTTATATAATGCTGTATGTTACCAAACAAAGCTTTACACATTCATATTCTCCTGCTTTGTTAAATATAATATGATGTGGTACCATTATTTTTCTTCCTTTATACTCTAGTGTCCTGAATGCTTCTGAACACACAAAATATTCTTCTGGTAGCATTGTTACAATTGTATACCATGCCGGAACTTCTGGAAGATGGAGGCTGGTATCTGGTATAGTGTAAAAAAAAAAAAAAAAGAAATATCCCAGCCCGACCCCTAAAAAGGCAAAACCATGCTTTCCACATACAGGACCACAGGCCTGCGGTATAAGTAACACCACTGAAACTTCTGTACTCCCCCTCCTGCAGATGATTTCTCAGATCTTCTTCAACAGAGCAACCCTGTTTCTCACCCATATAACACTATTTCTGAAATGTTCATAACCCCACTCACATCCTAGTTCAGTTATGTTCCTCTCATGGATGGCATGTCCAGAATTGAGTAAAATGCATGAAACGTGGTCTAATGAAGTGCCTTTTGTACCACCAGACAGAAATAAATAATTTGTGAGTATAGTTATAGATATAGCTCCACTACTACAGCCTACTTTAAACTGAAGAGTTCAGGAAAGGTGTATTGGGTTGAACAGTGCCTCCCCTCAACTCCCCAAAATTCATATTCTTCCTGGAACCTCAGAATATGACTTTATATGGAAATAGAGTCATTGTAGAGGTAAATAGTTAAGATGAGGTCATGCTGAAGCAAGATGAGCCCTTAATACAATACACTGGTGTCCTTATGAGAAGAGACACAGAGACAAATACAGAGAGGGGAGGGCCACGTAAAGGTACAGATGAACAAAAGAAAGACAGCCATGTAACAACAGAAGGAGACAATGAAATTACACATCTACAAGCCAAGGAACACCAAGGATTGCCAGCAACCACCAGAAACTAGGAAAGGCATTGAATAGATTCTCCCTTTGGGCCCCCAAAACAAACCAATCCTGCCAAAACCTTGATTTGAACTTCTGGCCTCCAGAATTGCCACAAGACAAATTTCTGTTGCTTTAAGCCTCCCATTTGTAGTACTTTGTTACAACAGCCTTAAGAAACTGACACAAAAGTACTCTCCATAGAGAGGCATTGATGGTAAAGCCTAAAGGAGCCAGCCAGGGGAAGAATTCCAGAAATAAGGAATGGAAAATACAAAAGCCCAGAGGCCAGAAAGGGCATAGCATGTTGCTCCACCTGGAGCATGGTGGAGAAGCGTATAGGATGAGGCTTAGGGTAGGGAGTTTAAATTTGACATTAAGAGCAATGGGAAGCCTTAAGAGCTTTTTTTTTTTTTTAAGTTTATTTATTTGGGGAGGGGGGGTTGCGGTGAGAGAGAGAGGGAGAGAGCGAGAGAGCACATGCACAAGCAGAGAAGGGGCACAGAGCGTCTGAAAGCAGCTCCGGGCTCTGAGCTGTCAATGAAGAGCCCCAGGCAGGGCTCGAACCCATGAACCATGAGATCATGACCTGAGCTGAAGTCAGGCACAACCATCTGAGCCACCCAGGCACCCCACCCTGCCCTAAGACCTTTAAGACTTGTTCTGATCCATGTCTTAAAGAGATCACTCTGGCTGTTCTGTGGAGGCTAGCCTGGAGATAATTTATTTTAAGGGAGAAAGAATAAATAGGTTACTAAAAGGTCCACATAAGAGATCATTGCAAGGCTGATAAATAAGCTAAGTTTTAACCCAGATCTCTCTTTTTCTAAAAAAATTTTTAAGTTTATTTACTTATTTCAAGAGAGAGAACAAGCAGGGTAGGGGCAGAAAGAGAAGGGAGAGAGAGAATCCCAAGCAGGCTCTGTACTGCCTGCACAGAGCCCGACACAGGGCCTAAACTCACGAACCGTGAGATCATGACCTGAGCCAAAATGAAGAATCAGGAGCCTACCCAACTGAGCCACCCAGGCACCCCAGCCCAGATCTCTTTTAAATTGCTGTATATAGTAGGGTGCCCATTTCTCCACATCCTCGCCAGCATCTAGAGTTCTCTGATTTGCTCATTTTAGCCACTCTGACTGGCATGAAGTGGTATCTCAGTGTGGTTTTGATTTGTATTTCCCTGATGAGGAGGGATGCTGAGCATCGTTTCATGTGTCTGTTGGCCATCTGGATGTCCTCTTTGGAGATGCATAGGAGCACATGTACCCCAATGTTCATAGCAGCACTCTCAACAATAGCCAAAACATGGAAAGAGCCTAAGTGTCCATCAACAGACGAATGGATCAAGAAGATGTGGTTTATCTATACAATGGATACTACATGGCAATGAGAAAGAATGAAATCTGGCCATGTGTAGCAACATGGATGGACCTTGAGGGTGTTATGCTGAGCGAAATAGGTCAGGCAGAGAAGGACAGGTACCATATGTTTGCACGTATAGGAGGATTGGGAGGAACTTAATGGAGGACCAAGGGGGAGAAGAAGGGGGGAAATAGTGGGGGAGAGGGAGAGAGGCAAACTATGAAAGACTCTTGAATACTGAGAACAAACTGAGGACTGATGGGTGTGGGGGGGGGGGGGAGATGGGCATGGAGGAGGGCACTTGTGGGGATGAGCACTGGGTATTATATGGAAACCAACATGACAATAAACTATTTGTAAAAAAAAAAAAATTGAAAAAAAAAATAAATAAATTGCTATATATAACACCTATAACGATGTTCACTTTCCAAAATCATAATATACTCAAGAAAGGTCACAGTGGAGAAGGGCCCAGTGTGTAGTATCAGCAGTGTATGCACTACAGCAATCAACAAAACAAAGTCTCTCGAACCACTGGAACCACCACTGCCGGTCTTTAATAACCGATTCAGCACTGACCCTGACTGCGGGCATGCTAAACCGTAACAGCTCCACTAAACTGAAGCAAGAGTTCCGAGGCCATCAGGCTCCTCCTAGCATGTAATGAAAGTTTATAAAGTAGATTCTATTTCCACCTTTTTCCTCCAAAACTATTTAAAGAAACTGTACAAAGAGCAACTCCAAAGTTCTTTTTTTTAATAAATTTTTTTAATGTTTTTTATTTATTTCTAGGAGAGAGAGAGAGAGAGACAGCGTGGGCAGGGGAGGGTCAGAGAGAGGGAGTCACAGACCGAAACAGGCTCCAGGCTCTGAGCTGGCAGTGAGCACAGAGCCCGACGCGGGGCTCGAACGCACGAACCGTGAGATCATGACCTAAGCGAAAGTCAAAAGTCGGATGTTTAACCGACTAAGCCACCCAGGCGCCCCTACTCCAAATTTCTTAAACTTTATGGCCTCTGTTCCCCTCTGATGAGCCATCAGGGACCACGATCCTTACCTTGTTACCTCTGTTACATGTTACAACATGCTAAAATGCATCTCCTCCTCCCCCATGGAGGCCCTCCTGTGAGTCCACTGTGAGAATCACTGACACAAAAGTCTACAGCATTCTTCTTTCAGAGATTGCTTTAAAGTGAATGATATTTATTACATTAAATAATACAAGATTTTAAAAGCTTTTAGCATTCCAAAATATTAAACTTTATGAAATCCTCACATAAAAAGCATCCACAAAAGGAAGCAACTGAAGAAAAGTAGCTGCCTAACCTTCTTCCTCCAGGGGAACTCCAACGTCAAAGTTCTCAGTCCCGATTTCACTATAACATGGTCTCTAGAGACCTTTAATCATCAACTTAAAAATACACTCTATGGACTACTCATTGTTTTCAGCATTCACCCGGTCTGAGTGATAAGGACCCTGTAATAAAGATAAAGGAAAGGGAAAAGGATATCCTCAGCTGAAACCAAAAAACTCACAACAATGACAACAAGTTCAAACACCACCAAGTTGCTTCTTTGATTACTTTCAGGTGCTTTTGCCATTGTGTCACCATCTTGAATAGCAACTTCCCAGAGTTAATAGGATGTACAGAGAAGTGACAGTGAGTGGTTACAGTCATTTATCCATTTAAAAGCATTTCTTGAGTGCCTACCATGGATAAGTACTACAGAGACAACAGTGGACGAGCTAGATATGGTCACTGCCTTACAGTGCTTAGTCTAATGATAGAAACAGACAACAAATAAGCAAAGACACAAACACTCAGAAACCGTAACAGAAAACAGACGTACAACTAATTTTAATACAATGGTCAGAAGGGTGTCTCAGGGCAGATAACAGCTAATTAAGTCTTTAATCTCCATAGCCTTTTATGAGGTATGAAGACGTCCAGGGGATTCTAATCGATGCCATTTTCTACGCAAAGCAGTCCTTGGCCATCCTGCCTTCTTTGTGCTTCTATGGTAATTTTAATTGACATTTCTCAAATGTAGTCTTTCATGGTAGTTATTTATAGACACATATCCTATACTTGCTGTACTATTATTAACCCAAAACTAAAGTAACCCTATATAAGATGTTAGAATCTGTTAATCAAAATGATTTGTATTAGTCCCACTTGCACCTGTGAATAATGCAAAGCCTGCACCTAAGGCCTAAATGTACATTCTCTCATTTGTTCTTTATAAAAATTCTAATGAAGGTGATTTTTCCCACTACATCATACTGCCTCCTCTCCCTTGTTCACATCTGAACCCCCACAACACAAAGCACAATGGGTATAGCACTATTCAATCAATGACTGTTGAGTTGAATTGCAAAGAAAAAGTGAGAAGTGTAATGTGACACCAGAGGACCAAGTGGCCTACCTGAACCTGAACCAGTTAACTCTGCTGTCACCCCTTTTGTCTACCAGTGACACTCCGTTATCTTTCTATCAGATGTGTTAGCCTCAGGAAATATGAACAGATCCAAAAATTATCATGTTAAAATCCAATTCAATACTGATTCTCTTCAGGAAGGACATGGCCCTTTCATCCTCCCACTACTTCCTGACAGCCTACTGCATGTTCCTGGCTACAGCAAACACAGGGATAAAAGGCATAGTCTTTGCTCTAAAAGAGGTCACAGTCCAGTTGAGACAAACAAGCAATGAAACTATTTCTACACAATGGATGCCGTTATGAATGCAGGTAGCACACGATGTTTGTTATCGCAGCAAAGAGGAGACACAATCTAACTGCTGGTATAGGAGGCTGCAATGAAGGCAAACTCAGAGGACATGATAATGCCTCTACTGGGGCCCTGCCCACCTCTTTTCCAACCTCATCTTCTATCTCTTGTCCCTTTCCTATTTCATAATTCAGAAACCTGTCTGACATAATATGCTTTCTCAAGTCTCCAGGCCACTGCACACGAATTTCCCCCTGCCTGGAATATTCTCCTACCCATGCCATTACAGAAAACTCCCTACTTCATCCTCCATCTGTCCGAGTATTCATTTAAGAAGTGTCCCCTCCACAAAATTTTCCAGGACAACCTTAGGCCTAGAGAGTGGCTGCTTCTCCAGTGGAAAAAGCCCAGCTGTTACCTGACAGTACTGAGTTGAAATGTCAATTGTGCCACTTTTCAAGTTAGGTGAGTTTCAGTACATTTTTTTTCACATCTCTGAACCTAAGTTGCCTCATCTTTAAAAGGGGTGTTAATATCTGCCCTAGAAGATTGTAAGGATTCAAGGTAGTGTTTATATAAATCCCTGACCACAGCAGAGGCTCCAAATTATACCAAATACACCCTGATAACTGATAGCCATCAGTAATTATACCTTATGGTATATTTTCTTAATGTCTATTTATTTTTGAGAGAGAGAGAGAAAGATAGAGCATGAGTGGGGGAGGAGCAGAGAGAGAAGGAGACAGAATCCAGAGTAGGCTATAAACTTTGAGCTGTCAGCACAGAGCTTGACGTAGGCTCAAATTCATGAACCACGAGATCATGACCTGAGCCGACATCAGACATTTAACCAACTGAGCCACCCAGATGGCCCACACTTTGTGGTATTAAACACACACACACACACACACACACACACACGTACATTACAACCTTAAGGATGTTTTCACAACAGTTCATATGACCCCTGGGAAACGTTTTTTTTTTTTTTTAATGTTTTATTTATTTCTGAGAGAGAGAGAGAGAGAGAGAGAGAGCATGAGCAGGGAAAGGTCAAAGAGAGGGAGACAGAATCCAAAACAGGCTCCAGGCTCTGAGCTGGCAGTAAGCACAGAGCCCAATGCAGGGCTCAAACCCATGAACCATGAGATCATGACCTGAGCCGAAGTCGGACGCTTAACCAACTGAGCCACCCAGGTGTCCTGATCCCTGGGAAATCTTAAAAGCAGTTTGATGATACATTTTCCCCAGTAGCAATTATGTTCTCATTAAGGCAGTAAAAATAATGAAAGGTAAAATTTACATAAAGGATCTTCTATAAGAGAAGAGCGTTGTCATAAAGAATATAACCAAGGAAATCTTAACTTCAAAAGTTCATTTCATTTAAAAAGCAAAGTTAACGAAAAACAAACAGCACATTCTGAAGGAAATTACTCAAGAGTAATAATTATAATCTCCCAAAACTACTTAAAATAGGACATTATCTCCCTTTAAAACTACAATCCAAGCAGCATACAATGACAAGGTAAACTATTCACAAGTAATATTTTCATCCCATAGCCTAGTACCTCTTAGAGCTCCCCATTTTTATTTATTTTATTTTTTATTTTTTTAGTGTTTATTTATTATTGAGAGTCAGAGAATGAGCAGGGGAGGGGCAGAGAGAGGGGGAGTCATAGAATCTGAAGCAGGCTCCAGGCTCTGAACTGTCAGTACAGAGCCTGATTCAGGGCTCGAACTCACAAACCATGAGATCATGACCTGAGCCAAAGTCGGTCACTCAACCTACTGAGACACCCAGGCACCCCAGAGCTCCCCATTTTTAAAATAGTCATTTTTATTTGGCCTCAAAATGCATGACTATTATAAAAGAAATAAATCTTCACCCTTACAGTATTCTGCTTTGCTCATTAATGTTTAGAAATACAGTCTAAGTCAGGAAATCTCAAATATAAGCTCTGCTACTTTGCAAGCACATAAACACTGAGAAGAAAAACAAAATGGTGAATAAAGAAAAATGAATGTTAAGTCCAGGACCAGATGGCTTCATAGGTGAATTCTATCAAACATTTACATAAGAGTTAATACCTATTCTTCTCAAAATATTCCAAAAAAAAAAAAGAAGAGGAAGGAAAGTTTCCAAATTCTTTCTACAAGGCCAGCATTACCCTAATACCAAAACCTGATAAAGACACTACAAATAAAAGAAATATAGCCCAATATTTCTTGATGAATATAGATACAAAAATCCTCAACAAAACATTAGCAAACCAAATCCAACAACATATTTAAAAAAATCATTCACTACAATCAAGTGGGATTTATTCCCAGAAGGCAAGGATGGTTCAATATTCACAAATCAACCTGAAACAAGAAAAAGGATAAAAGCCACATGATTATATCAGTGATCACACAGAAAATACAAAAAAAAAAAAAAGCATTTGATAAAGTACAACATCTATTCATGATAAAAATCCTCAACAAAGTAGGTTTAGAGGGAACACACCTCAACATAATAAAGGCCATATAAGAAAAACCTACAGTTAACATCATGGGAAAAAACAGAGAACTTTTCCCTTAAGGTAAGAAACAAGACAAAGATGTTGACTCTCACCACTTTTATTCAACATGGTACTAGAAGTCCTAGCCACAGCAACCAAGCAACAAAAAGAAATAAAAGGTATCCAAATTGGTAAGGAAAAAGTAAAACTTTCACTATTTGCAGATGACATAATACTGCACACACACACACACACACACACACACACACACACCCCTAAAGACCACCAAAACAACTACAAAACTGATAAATAAAGTCAGTAAGGTCACAGGATACAAAATCAATATACAGAAATCTGTTGTATTTAAATATACTAAGAGTGAAGTTGCAAAAAGTGAAATTAAGAAAACAGTCCCATTTAAAATTGCATAGAAAATAATTTTTTATTTTGCAAATAAAATAAATATTTTTTATTTAAAAAAATATAAAATTTTTATTTTGTTGATTGCAAAAACTGCAATGAACGTAATCAAGGAGGTGACAGATGCCTGGGTGGCTCAGTCAGTTAAGTGTCCAACTCTTGATTTCACTCAGGTCATGATCTCACACTTATGAAATCGTGTGCTTGCTCTTTCTCAAAAACAAAACAATACACCTTAAACAAAAGGTGAAAGACCTGTACTCTGAAAACTATAAAACACTGATGAAAGAAATTGAAAATGATACAAATGGAAATATATTCCATGCTCGTGAATTGGGAAAACAAATATTGTTAAAATGTCCGTAGTACCTAAAGCAATCTACAGGTTTACTACAATCCCTATCAAAATACCAACAGCATTTTTCATAGAACTAGACTAGAATAATCCCAAAATTCATACAGAACCAAAAATGACTGAATAGCCAAAGCAATTTTGAAAAAGAGTAACAAAACTGGAAGTATCACAATTCCAGATTTCAAGATACACTACAAAGCTGTAAGAATCAAAACAGTATGGTACTGGCACAAAAAAGAAAAAAAAAACAGATGGAACAGAACAGAGAGCTCAGAAATAAACCCATGATTATATGGCCAATTAATCTTCAACAAAGGCAGAAAAAATATCCAATGGGATAAAGACAGTCTCTTCAACAAATGGTATTGGGAAAACTAGACAGCTACATGCTAAAGAATGAAACTGGATGACTTTCTTACACCAGATACAAAAATAAACTCAAATGAACTAAGAACCTAAAAGCAATACCTGAAGCCATAAAAATCCTAGACGAGAGCACAGCAGTAATTTCTCTGACATCAATCATTCCAACATCCTTCAAGATGTCTCCCATGGCAAAGGAAACAAAAGCAAAAATAAACTATTGGGACTAAATCAAAATAAAAAGCTTCTGCACAGCGAAGGAAATAATCAAGAAAACAAAAGGTAACCTACTGAATGGGAGAGATATTTGCAAATGACATATCCAATAATGGGTTAGGATCCAATATATACAGCTCAACACCCAAAACAAGTAATACAAATAAAAAATGGGCAGAAGACATGAGCAGCAGACATTTCTCCAAAAACAGACATACAATGGCCAAGACATATGAAAAGATGCTCAACATCACTCATCATCAGGGAAATGCAAATCAAGACCACAATGAGATATCACCTTATACCTGTCAGAATGACTAAAATCAAAAACATAAGAAACACATGATGGTGAGCATGTGGAAAAAAAGGAACCCTCTCACACTACTGCAGGAAAGCAAAGTGGTGCATCCACTGTGCAACACAGTATAGAGATTTC